ACATTTTCAGCTGACCTCCTTGGCAAGCAAACACGATCAGTTTGTTTGTTTACAAACTGCTGAACAACGAATGTTTTCTCCTCGGAGAAAACAAAATTCGGCAGTTCACCACCTTCGGCCAAGCGAAGCAACTCTTTAGCTGTTTTTAGTCTATTTTCTTTCTGTTGCGATATAAGTTCTTGCACTTTTTGGAAGTTCAATGGCTTTACCCCGAGCTCATTTTTCACGAGTCATTTTTCGGACACTGTGACGCGAGTTTCGATCAAGTAGCATCTTTACTTTTCACGCTTGAATTCTATCTTTTTTTTCGGAAAATTCTCACTTAAATGCTTTTGAACGCTTGTAAACAATATAATGAGCTGACACTGGAATAATTTTAACAGCTGTCGGACGAGTGCCTTAGAAATGACAGCAGTCCGAATTTGGTTGCAGGTTTTTCATCTCACCCTGTATACATAACAATTTTCTTTTTTGTCCTTGACCAATGAAGAAAAATATAAAAGCAATTACAAATTGCAATGCATAAAAAAAATGAGAAAAGGGTATGTTGCAGATTACATTAATAGGGCAAAGTTGTAACAGGGAAATAATATTGAAAGTTCTACTGATTTTACCAAAAAAAAAATATTATTTTACTGGCACAGATTATATACTTAATGATCTACACCATGGCATATGGACAAGTTACACCGATGGCACTGAAATTCAATTTCAATTACTTAATATTAAAAAAAGTAAGTTCTTATTTTCAACCCTGTATACATAACAATTTTCTTTTTTGCCCTTGTCCAATGACGAAAAATATAAAAGCAATTAAAAATTGCAATGCATAAAAAATGAGAAAAGGGTATGTTGCAGATTACATTAATAGGGCAAAGTTGTAACAGGAAACTAATATTGAAAGTTCTACTGATTTTACCAAAAAAAAAAAAATATTATTTTACTGGCACAGATTATATACTTAATGATCCACACATATAACATATGTTTCCACATATGGAAAAGTTACACCGATGGCACTGAAATTCAATTTCAATTACCTAATCATGGAAAAAGTAAGTTCTTATTTTCAACCTACTGGTAATGCAGAAGAAATTTTTTCACATTCAATTAAAACGTTATTCGACTGATGCAGCCTCCATTTTTTGCTAGGTTACTTAGAGAGAACCTTGATTTCATCTCAATATCCTAAAGTATTTGTTGCTTCAAACATCAATTCTAGATTTCCTGCTCTATTTCTACCACAAATACCAAATGTAATACTGTTTAATACGTACCTCTCAGCCCTAAATCAACTTTAATGCTAAATTTCAGTTTTCAAGTACTTTCAGATTTATACCAAATGTAGTACCATAAACACTTTTCCTATGTCGTGTATTACGCATTTCCAAAACCACCTCCTTATATCAACCCTATTTCACAAACTTGATTCTCATTTCAAGTTTTTACCTTTATCCGTTCACATAATTTCAAATGGTATTTACTGTTCGAATTTTAAAAAAAATCTTTAGTTTGTCTATTCAACGCAACGCAGAAGACTCTAATATCAAATTTACAGATTTCCTGTTCTTTTCTTTCCCTAAATACCTAGGTAAATACTATTCAGTGTGTTTTGTACCTTTTTGTACGTATTTCCTAATATGTTTCATGTATCAACCAAGCCGTTCAAAAGGTGATCTCTACTTTCCCCAAATACAAAATGTAGTATCAAATCTTCGATCGCGTAATAAAAAATTTACTACAATTTAGTACATTTCGCACGCTTGCTGCGCTCATTTCCAAACGAAACTCTTTATCTTACCCACACAATAGCCAATACCAACATTTCTAATTTTCAGATTAATCCGTTCAAAACTCAATTGTACCGAATTTATTACCATTTAGTATACATAAGTACGAATTTCCAAGACATATCCCAATTCTGCAATGCAAAAGTAATCTATTCCCAAATTCCAGGATTCCAACTCTGTTAATCTTTCCAAAACATAAATTGTACCAAATTTAGTACCATTTAGTTAATATAAGTACAAATTTCCAAAACTACCTACCCTACATACCTCAGTCGAAGAATTCAATATTAATCGTACTTTAAAATTTCATCTCTATCTGTTAACCAAAATCGAAATTGTACCAAATTTAGTACCATTTTTTTTTTAATTTTCCGGAAAAAAAGTTAGAATTCCAGCGTGATAGGTCGATTTCTTTATATTTGGCACGTTAGAGCACTCCAGCGTTTAAATGTGAATAAATCTTTTGTGTCTCGTAGCATCGCTCGTTACCGTGATACTGATACTGGTAGCGTATCCCGACGTTAAGGAAGTGGACAGAAGAAAACAGCAACATCAGCAGAAATGGTTCGAAAAGTAAAGAAGCTACTTGATCGAAACATGCGTCACAGTGGCCGAAAAATGGCTCGTGAGCTGAACGTATCGCAAAATTCCACTGGCAAGTATTGAAAAATGAGCTCAGTGTAAAGCCATTGAACTTCCAAAAAGTACAAGAACTTATATCGCAACAGAAAGAAAACAGACTCAAAAGAGCTGAAGAGTTGCTTCACTTGGCCGAAAGTGATGATCTGCCGAATTTGGTTTTCTCCGATGAGAAAAAATTCGTCGTCCAGCAGTTTGGAAAAACAAACAAAATGATCGTGTTTACTTGCCAAAGAGGTCAGATGAAAATGTGCCCCTTCGGTTGTGCCCCGCCATAACAGCCGATGGTCGCTCTCCGCTCATATTAATCGACCGTGGCATCAGAATAAATGCCGAATATTATCGCAAAAATATTCTGGAGGTGTATTAAAGCAAACATATTGGATATTGGACATTCCAACAGGACTCAGCACCATCACACTCAGTACACGCCACCCAAGAATGGTTACAAAATGAGGTTCCTCGCGCAAAATAGCCAACAAAATCTCCGAATACCAATCCGTTGCACTGTTGTGTCTGGAGTATTTTGGAAAGCAAGGTTGGCACTAAAAAATACCAAAGTGTCGATCACCTCAATCAAGCGCTTCGCCTGAAATGGTCCTAAATACAGCGGAGCAACATTCGGGCAGAGTGTGACGATTTCATTGGCCGTTTGAAGACTATAATTCGATTCGAACAAATCTAAACTTATTCTACAATTTGATGCCATTTCCGACATTTTTTGCTTTCATTCAATTAAATTTAAAAGAAAATGTAAAAATTATGACGTTTGACTTTGTTGCAATTTTTTCATCTCACCCTGTACATGAGTACACACTTCCAAAACTACCTCCTTACATCGACCCTACCGTACTCGTTAAAAATAAATTATTAAGCATTGAATAATGTTATAATTAAAAACCTATCAGTGAAATTGAAAAATAAATATTTTCAACAACAATTTGCAGTGGCTCATTTTTCAATTTTATGTAATATTTATGTCATAAATGAATAACACAGAGCCTTCATTCGTTTTATTTCAATAACGTCAATCTGAGCGGAAATCTAAAGATAATTATCGTAATAAACATACAGACAATGTTCTAAAAGTTCTCAAGTTGTACATGGCAAAAATATATATAAATACAACCATAAATATTATATAAATTATGAAAACAATCAACTAGTCTCTTAAATTTAATAATATATATATATAGAATTCGGAAAAAAAAAACTCTGCACAAGTTTCCGACTCTGATGTCGAACTCGGAAAAACATTGTGTGAGATTGCCAAAGATTCTGAAAGATTTTTCGTAAAATATTCTGAGAGCTAAAGGATGTTTTATGCGAAATTCGTAAATTTTTCGGATGTTTGATACGAAATTCGCAAAAAAATCTGATATTATTCTATAGTTGTAATCGAAAAACCGAAATACTAAAACTATATCTAATTTTTAGATAATTGTTTCTGTTTATATTTTTCAATTTAATGATAGAACATTTTTATTCAGTCTTTTTGTAAAATATAAGGAACACGGAAATTAAAATATAAAAAAAAATCATAAAAAGTTGCAATTCAATGAAATCATTATAATTAAGGTTTGTTAAGCCTATCTTTAGCCGAGTTGAAGAAATGTTTTATATGGGTTTCTATGGCACTTCCCATAGTCCCCGGAATATGTTCCAATGCCTCATCTAAATAAAAAAAAAATGAAAAAAATATTATTTAAATTATCAAAAAGTTTAGAACACAGGGATACAAAGCTTTAAGAAGCCTAATAAAATAGATGTCCTTTACAGCTGTATTTTGGTATATATCGTGCCACGAAAACGTCTTTATATTTCCATGGCGTTGATTTTTTAAACGTTGTAGCTAAACAATTCAAGATATTAATAAAAGTAGAAATTGTAGAAAGGTGCTTACTTACCATAAGGTTCTGAAGCTCGAAATCTTCCTTTAATTATCATTTTAACTTTTCACTGTAACACACTGCACACGTGATCCGTTCAAATTCTGACGACAAACTGATCATAATCAAAAAAAAAAAAAAAAAACCAAAACAAAAATTTCAATCGAGCATGTGCAGAATACTCGGGAACTTTTCGAAAAAACGGTACAAAATCACAACAGAAAAAAGTTAACTCTCTGCTGATGTCAGAATTTTTTTTTTTTTTTTTTTTAATGAAACAAAAGATACTAGTATGTGCAGATTACTCGGAAACTTTTCCGAAGAAACGGCAGAAAATCTCTCAACAAAAATTGTTAGCTGGGATGTTTGACCCGTAAGATACATCCACACACATACATAAAAACGTCTAGCCATGTCATTTACATAAATCAACATTTACACAACAATCTTGACACATTTCCTAGGAATATCTCGACAATTGGATTATTATTTCGACATAAATACCATTAGAGCTAATGTTAGAGAAATTCCCTTTTATGATATTGTGATGTCTGCAAATTACATTTCAGTTACGAGGAATTTTTGGACAAGTGATATCCAATATTCCCACTTCTCTATGTTTCTTTTTTGCTTCAATTGTATTTCACAACAAGTTTCGTTTTTATTTTTATTATTATTTCAGCTTACATTTTGGATTCTACCGACCAGTCTGGAAATCGTACCATAAATGTCTTTTCTCAAGTCTACATACGAATGTTGCCATTGTCCAGGAAATTAATCGAACAACTATATTCGGATATTAAAAGGTAATTATGATTGTGATTGTAATGTCCCAAGATTAAGGGAAATTACCTACTTCAACTTATTTCTTTCATTTGTTGGGAATAAAGGTCCTAATGTAATGTTTTTTTTTTTTTAATTATTGGGGTTATTTTATGTACTAATTTTATATAATTTTTTTTATATATATAATTTTTGCGTATACTAATTGGATGTTCTTTTGAAGTATATAACCTTTCCATACCCTACTCTACACTGTGGTGTTATATCATGTTAGAGTCATATGAAAATTGACTTTTTTACATTTCCACACATTCGATGGTAAAAGTATAGTAAAACAATTAAAAATTAATTTGAATACCCTTTAATATTTGGAAGGAATTCGCAAAATTTCCAAAAAAATAAAAATACCGAATATATGGGGGCTATACGAAGACCTGGACAAGCATATGCTATTTCCTGTCATAGTCTGTAGTACCCATTAGAAACTTCAAATACGAAATTTGCAACAGTTCTGGTGAATAATGTCACCGAAAAAATAAAAATGCCGAATATACGGTGGTACCGTTACATTGGGGCCTGGACCTGCATATGCAATTTTTTGTCGGAGGCTGCAGGACCCATTACGAATTTCAAATTCCAAATTTAAAACAATTTCGGTGATATGAAAATACCGAATGTAGAGAGGTACCGCTACATGGGGACTATACGAAAACCTGGACATGTATATGAAATTTTCAGTCACAGGCCGAACTAAAATCCTCAAAATACCGAATATTGGGAGGTGCCGTTAATTAGAAGCTGTACGAAGACCTGGACAATTATCTTTCACAGAAGGTAGTACCCATGGTACAATGATATCAAGGTAGGGCAATGATACCATATGATTTCAATTTTTTTATTTTCTTGGCTTAATATGTCATCTTTATTTGTTTATGTATGTGTTTTCTTTTCAATAACAAAAAAATTGTTCAGAAAACATTCAAATTCGGATGTTTTCAAAATGTTTATTTCATCGTATGCATCGACAAAATCTAGAGTTTTTGTAGCGAAATAATCCTTTAGAGATATATAGAATCTGGTTTTGAAAAGAAGTGTTGACCTTTCATTCAGTTTTCGCGCTTTTCAATTATTTATTCAAAATAAATGCAACAAGTTGTTTGATTTTTTATTGTTTTGATACTAATTCTGACATTACAAGCCAAACAGGTAGACCTCTATACTTGCAATTTTTTCAAAGTTGACCTACCTTCTCTTCATTGTACCATGGTAGTACCCATCCAAACCCATCTAAACAGTACCCCAAATAAATACGTAATTTTCTGTCATAGGCTGTAGTACCCATTAGGAACTTCAAATACGCAATTTGAAACAGTTCCGCAAAATAATGTAGCTGAAATCAACAAAATACCGGATATAGAGAGCTACCGTTATATGGGGGCTGTCCGAAAACGTGGACCTGCATATGCAATTTTCGGTCACTGGCTGAAGCCCCCATTACGAACTTCTCATACGAAATTTGAAACAATTATGGTAAATAATGTCGCTAAAATCATAAAACTACCGATTATAGCGAGGTACCGTCATATGGAGCCTATACGAAGTTTTGCATATACAAATTTCTGTCGTCGGCTGTAGTACGCATAGGGAACTTCAAATACGAAATTTTAAACAATTCCTGTGAATAATGTCGCTAAAATCATCAAAATACCGAATATAGAGAGTTACCGTTTTATGGGGGCTATACGAAGACTTAGCCCTGGATATGCAATTTTCTGTCGTAGGCTGTAGTACCCATTACGAATTTCAAATTCAGAATTTAAAACAATTTCGGTATATAAGGAGGAGGTAATATGAGGAGGTACCGCTACATTGGGCTATACGAAAACATGGACCTGCATATAAAATTTTCTGTCACAGATGGTAATACCTATTAGAAATTTTAAATACGAAGTTTGGAACAATTCCGGAGAATAATGTCGCTAAAATCATCAGAATACCGAATAAGGGGGGTGCTGTTATATGGAGACTATACGAAGACCTGGACTTGTTTTCAATTCTATTATTAACTTCAAATACGCAATTTGAAATAATTCCGGAGAATAATATCGCTAAAATCTTCTAAATACAGAATATAGGGAGATACCGTCATATGGGGTCTATACGAAGACCTGGACTTATTTGAGCAATTTTCTGTCATAGGATGTAGTATCCATTAGGAACCTAATTAGGAACAAATTCCAAATTTGAAACATTATGTAGTATGGCACCAATCATCAAAATACCGAATATCGGGAGGTACAGTTATATGGGTACAATACCAAAACTTAGACCTACATATATTGACAATTCGATGCAAGAATGTTTCTTACATAATGGGAACATATACTGCCAATTTACAGTAAATATGGGTTCAAATTGTGACTAAGACACCCAAAAAATCTAAATATCTCGATACAGTTATATGGACCTATAAAGCCCATTTTCAAGAGCAAAAGTCCTGCAGACCTAACACACATTTGAATAAAATGTTATCAACCTACTTCAATTCGTTCGGAAGCTAGAGTGATTTCCACAGACGGACGGACATCGCTAAATCGACACAGAATTTTATGCTGATCAAGAATAAAAATGTATATTTCGAGGTGTTACAAAAGGACTTACAAACTCAATATGCACTCCATATTATGGTGGAGAGTATAAAAATATAGCATAAATATATTAAATAGTAATGTATAGCATATAGTTTGCATATAAAAGCGTCTCTTGTCAGTTTACAAATTGTTGGCAGCGCCCAAAAGTATGCTACAATAATGCCAAATATAAAATGTGAAAAATTCATTTTACATATGACTTTAACTTGATGTGTAATCTGGCCTTTATTAAAAAGATAATAAGTATTGGAATCCTTTGATTCAGTTAAAACATATTGAAGCCAGACATTATATCATGCCTCATTTGGAACAAACAGATGTACGCATGAATAACTCAAAACGCAACTGATAAATCGATTAACATTAACATTCTTTAATTTCTCTTTCTCTCTCCCCACACTTCTCTCTTTGCAGTACCATAAAAGCGACCGAGTCCACAACAAGTATCAACACACTGGAGCATAACATACATCAGTTCTTTGTCAATTTGTTTCCCGTTGCCTACCATCAAGTGGTCCATTTGGACAAGCAACGATATGGTGAATTGCACGAGGATTACATTAATTGCTTGAAACTCACTTATGACGAGATCCAACCCTTCGGTGACATACCCACTGAAATCAGTCGCAATTTGAGGCAAAGCATTCAAATGGTACACATACTCATCAATGCCCTGCATCAGAGTGCCGAAGTTTTGGGCGAAACCGATGAATTATATGGGGCCCATTTGACGGAGAGCTGCCAGAAGCATCTGCTGCGAATGAGTTATTGTCCACGTTGTAATGGTCTGCAAAAGACGCATGTGAAAACATGTTACGGTTACTGTGTAAATGTTTTGAGGTGGGTATTTTGTGCCTAATGGACATTCGGATTTTTTTTTACAGTAAAATGAACAATTTTTCATTAAATGAAATTTTTCCTCAAGTGTTCATTTTTTGATTCTGTTTTGTTTCGGTTTTTGGGATTTTATTTAATCATTTGCCTTTTTTCTCCATTTTTTCTGGGTTTGTTTAAACACACAGAGGTTGTTCGGCCCAATATGCTGGTGCATTGGATAGCCATTGGTCAAGTGTTGCGAGTGGTTTGGAAAATTTAATGAATGTCCATATGGGTGCTGATGCTGGCATTGTTGCAGCAATTAAACAATTGGATGTTAAATTACCTGATTCAATAATGAAGGCCATGGGAAATGGTCCCGAACTGGAAAAGACGGTAAGTAGAATAAATGATGTGTGTAGTTTAGTGTATTTTAAAAATGTATGGCTTAATTGTAATTTCGTCAGAAAGAACGGGAAGTAATTTTACTGAAGCAAGTTAATCGAATAAAAAATTTCAGTCAGTTTTGTTTGTGTTCTCCTAAGTTTGGGGGATACCGTAATGATTTTCTGACCATAAATTGCAAAAATTATAAATACAGGGTGAGATAAAAAACTGCAACAAAGTCAAACACCATAATATTTTTTTTTAATTTTATTGAATGAAAGCAAAAATGTCGGAATTAGCATCAAATTTTAGAATAAGTTTAGATTTGTTCGAATTGGTCACCTTTGACACGAGTTATGGCCTTCAATCGGCCAGTGAAACCGTCACACCCTACCCGAATGTTGCTCTGTGGTATTTTGGCCCATTCCCGGCGGGCGAAGCGCTTGCTTAAGATGATCGAGACTTTGGTTTTTTTAGTGACAACCTTGCTTTCCAAAATACTTCAGACACAATAGTCCAACGGATTGGTATCCGGAGATTTTGGTGGCCATTGTGCGCTGGAAGTGAAGCGAGGAACCTCCTGTCCTATCCTGTTGGAATGTCCAAGGTCTGCGGCCAAAATGTTTTCATGCCCAAGGCTTTTATACACCCTCTAACATATATTCGCGATAAAATTCGGCATTTATTCTGATGCCACGGTCGATCGATATGAGCTGAAAGCGACCATCAGCTGTTATGGCGGTCCACACTTTTATTTTCAGCTGTAAATACGATCATTTTATTTGATTACAAACTGCTGGACAACGTATGTTTTGTCATCGGAGAAAACACAATTCAGCAGTTTACCACTTTCGGCCAAGCGAAGCAACTCTTTAGCTCTTTTGAGTCTATTTTTTTCTATTGCGGTGTAAGTTCTTGCACTTTTTGAGAATTTAATTTTTCAATATTTGCCGAATGGAATATTGCGATATGCTCAGCTCACGAGCCATTTTTCGGCCATTGCGACCCGGATTTCGATCAAGTCACTTCTTTACTTTTCGATCCATTTCTGCTGATGTTGCTGTTTTCTTCCGTCCACTTCCTTGACTTCGGGCTACGCTACCGGTATCACGGTAAGGAGCGATGGTACGAGACACAAAAGATTTATTCACGTTTAAATGCTGGAGTGCTCTAACGATAGCCGCTTGTGGTTTTCCAGCCAAATATAAAGAAATCACACTATTACGCTTGAATTCCATCACGAATATTTTTTTTCCGGAAAATTCTCACCAAAAAGCTTTTGTACGCTTGTAAGCAATATAATGAGCTGTCACTGGAATCATTTTAACAGCTATCGAACGAGTAGCTTAAATGTGACAGCAGTCTGAAGTTGGTTGCAGTTTTTTAATCTCACCCTGGATATTAGACTCATGGAAGTTTTGGAAAAAGAGCTATTATTATCCTTACTCTCACTTTTAAGGAGTTAATCTGCAAAAATTCATATTTTATATTTAAAATACTGCTAGAAATTCTACAACCTTACTTTATGTAAGTTTTTCAATCTTTAATTCGAATTAAAAAATGATTGAAAAACTGGAAAAACACTCATAGAAGTGCTGGTTATCTTTCGCATTAATTTGCGTTTCGCATAAACTGACACTTACTTTAATTTGCATTTCGTTTATTTAAACAATTCTAAGAAATTAAGAGGTTGCTGTTGTGACCCTCTTTCTCTATCCCTCTCGCTCTCTATTTAAAAACCAGTACAACATCAACAACAACAAGTGAAATTCTCTAGTAATGAAAGTGCCGACATGACTTAAATTATCAAGTAGGCAATGAATTAGTTAGTTAATGTGTAACATGGTTAGCTTGCCTGCTGCAAGGATAATTAGTTATACGGTTTACATACGAACCAATGCTTATTTACATCCACGCACACAGGTGTAACCAAAGTAATGTGGATAAGGCAGCAACATAGCAACAGAGCTATTAAGAAAGTGGTAAATGTAAACCGTTTTGGCCATTCTAGAAAAATGCACTTTAATTGTGCATGCATGTGTACATAGAAGCATATATTATGCCTGTGAGTTCAGTACTTGATGTAAACCATAATTTTGAAATATTCACCGGAGACTGCAGAAATATGTATTATTTGATTTTATAATTTAAAACGCAGTTTCCACATCGTATTAGAGTCATGTATTGTGATTGATAAGTGATTTTTAATATTTTATAATTAATATTTTTGTAGCCGAGCTCAATAATTTTTAAACTCAAACGAAACGCTATACATTCTAAAATTGAGGTACACGTCTTCGTATAGCCCCTATATAACGGCACCTCCCTACATTCGGTATTTTGATAATTTTAGCGACATTATTCAAATTTTCAAATTTCGTATTATAAGTTCGTAATGGGTGCTACAGCCTGTGATCGAAAATTGCCTATGCAGGTCCACGCCCCATATAAAAGTACCTCCCTATATTCGGTATTTTGATGATTTTAGCGACATTATTCACCAGAATTGTATCAACTTTTGTATTTAAGGTTCCTAATGGGTACCATGGCCTATCACAGAAAATTGGTATTGAAAATGGACTGTGTCATTTCACACTTAGGAATAGCCCCAGGCAACGCACCTCCTAAATTTCAATATTTTAAAGTCTTCATTAACAATTTCAAATGTACTTAGCCGTAATTTGACATAATCGTTTCTCAGAAGGTAGATTCTGTGTTCGTAATTGTTTTGTATAGTATCCACATAGTCCTACCCCTGATTTGAGGTAATTTGGCGACTTAGATTCTCATTGCTTCCATCTAACGATAACTTGGGATGAGCGCAGACGTAGATTTTTGGGTCCTGACTACATTTTCTTTTTGAAGTGACTTTAATTTATTCATTAAAATTTAAATAGGTAAAGCATATCTTTGCAAGAATGGTCAATGTAGGTCAACGTTATAAAATTGACAATAACAATAGGAAAGTTATCATGAAAAATCATGACAAATAATATGTAAAAGTTGTTCTCTTCACTCGCACTTTAAAGAGTGATCGATTTCGGGAAAAAAAATTAACTCCAAGCAAAAGTATTAATTGTATGATCTTAAAAACTTAAAAAATCTAAATATATATTTTAAAATATATTTTAACCACTCATTAACTTTTAAAAATAATTAATTTCTTAATATGATAAAGACTTTATATTTGTATTTTCTTTTCCATTTTAGGTGAAAAAAGCATGTGGTACACCAAAACTATTGCCCTCCAAAGAAGCCGATAATGAAATCAAAAAACCCATTTCTCATTATAATAAGAAGTTAAATCCAGTAGAACCTGAACTATTGCATTTCTCATCGACCATTGATAAATCCAAAGATTTCTACTCAAACATAGTTAATAAGTAAGTATTTGTGCCGGTGTCCTCCACCCACACCTCATTGAGTTGATGAAACCAATAACTGGTATCTATGAAATATTAATGCATTGTCTTATATGTTATCGATATATATTTGCAAAGATTTGTAACGGGTTTTAAAAGCAATCTTTTTATCTTGGATATGAATATAGCTAGGATCAGGTTTAAATATATAAAAACTTAACATAATATGGTTATATATAAATGAAAATGTATGTATTTAAATGTTATATAAATTTTACTTGAATAAAAAATACCCCGCAATTGTTTCTATCAATTTGGTGGAGAAACAATTTCTTTAAATAAAGCTTTAAGTAGTAGTAACATGGATTAAAAATTCTCCTTTTCCATAATAAATATTTCTTAAGATTCAGTGATCGCTGATTCTTACATTGCCAATGAAGCCTTCTTACCTTCTTGTAATTTATTTTAAAATCCCATTGTATGTTGCAGCACATTCTTAATATCCTTTTATTGTCATAATTTTCCAATGCAGCACACAATTTAGCGTTTAAATTTAGCAATTTTATAATTATAGCTTCCAAATTTGATCAAAATATCATGAATGATACAAACATATATTGGTGTGAGAATAACTCCGACAAAAAATATTGCATCCAAAATGCAATCACGACAATTGACACATTGGCAAGGCTGCAAAAATTGTAGTCTTAAATCCCAACAAAACATTGACTGAATTCTTTAAAATATATTTACCTCACAGATGTTGGTATAGTTTCCAACCTCTCCCACAAAGATGTTATGTATGAATTCTTTAATATTGACTACAATTTGGGTTAACATGATTTGATTTCAAAATTTAAGTAATTCTTTTCAAAAAAAATTTCTCACAACGACAGTTTGTTTGTTTTGTTTTTGTGTTTTTGAAGTAAATTAGTTGTGTCTGTTTACTAAACGGTTAACAATTTCTTCGTTGTCGAAAGCTAAAATATTTCATGAGAGATTGCTGAACGAGAAACGAAAGAAAAAAATTAACCAATATCTGCAAAAATAAATTCAATATTACTTCTATGCAATTCGTTTTGATTTTGTACTTTTGGTTCATTAAATTCATGGTTTTATGTTATTTATCATGGTTTATGTTATTTAACCTCTTATTATTTATTTTCAGCGTTTGCGATGATGACGAATTTCAAAGAAACGATCGTCACTGCTGGATAGGAGATCGTATTAGTGATTACGATCAAATTGTGATGACACCTGGCCAGGATACCCAACGCTACAATCCCGAAGTACCTTATGAGCCTACGTCTAAGCCAACCAAATTACATGAATTGCTTGACAAGTTGTTGAAAATTCGTAAAAATCTAGATACAGCGGTAAGTTTGATTTGTAGATAGTCACAGGCATAAATATATGTTCTTTTCCAATACCTGCAAGAATCTACTAGTCTTCAAGTTTGTTTTTCGATATCATAAAGCGAAAATCGGGTATCGTAGTAAAAACTTTTACATTGTTCTAGTTCTGGAACAGAGCAATAGATTTACATGAATAATAGGTGTGTCTGCTTACTTTTGTCTAACAACTTATTTATGAGAAAGTAAAGTAGTTTTATTCTCTTTTGCAAGAAAATGTTAAAAGTAAACAGACGAAACCCCGTACAAAACTTGCAATTATATTGCTTGTCCAAATATAAATCACCGAAAGAGAAGAAGAAGATTTGCAAATGATTGCAAGAAGAAATTTGTCCAGCAAGATTTTGCAAACTCTCACTGAAAGAACTGTCAAAATTGATCTCTTAAATCGCACTCTTTTGAAGATATTACGTGTTAACAGGTGACTTTCAGTAACAATTTGCAAGAATTGTTTCAAATTTTAAATATTTTTATTGAAATCACGATAGATTCAATACATGAATACTCTTAAAAAATGTAGTACTATTTAGTACTTTTCGTACAATTATGGAACACATTTCCAAAACCACCTTCATATTTTAGTCACAGATACCAACAAACCTCAATATCAAATTTCAGGATTCCAGCCCTATCCCTTCAGGATTCCAGCTTCAATCCCCAATTTAGTACCACTTGGAACAAATGTAGTACATTTCATTTCAAATCCACCTCCATATATTCACCACAGACAACAACAGTGACATCTATATCAAATTTCAGGATTTAAGCTCTATCCCTTCACCCAATGCCAAATTTAGTATTATTTACTACAAATTAGTACACATTTCCAAAACTACCCCATTTCTCAATTCCAGATAACAACTGAGGCCTCAATAACAAATTTGAGGATTACAGTTATATCCCTTCACCCAATACAAAATTTATATAATTTAGTTCTTTTCGCACAAATATAGGACGCATTTCCAAACCACTGCAAAATCTCAAACACAGATATCATCAATAATCTAAATATCAAACTTCAGAATTTTATCTCTATCCCTTCACCCAATACCACTCAGTATTTTTCGTACAATTATGGTTCACATTTCCGAAACCACCACCTTATATACAGGCTACACATGAACTGTTCCCTCAATACCATATTGTACCAAATATAGTACCCTTTTGTACTTTTCGTATCCCTTTAGTATGAATTTCCAAAAATACAGCCTTAGACCTATGCACCAAGACTGACCCTTGTGCAAAATTTCAAAATTCTAACATCAGCCGTTTCGTCTGGGCGTTGATTCTCGGTCAACATCAGTTAACTGCATGAATGTAAAAATTTTTACTACAATAATCGATTTTCCCTTTATGATAGCGAAAAATTTGCAAAATTAGTAGATACTATAACTAGAAGAATATAAAAGTTGTTACTACCATAACGGACCCATGGTACCATGAACGGACCTTTCCTTTATGATATCGAAAAAAATTGAAAGACCAGTAGATAATTGCAGGTTGTGGAACAGAACAACGCATTGGAAACAAATAACTTTCACCCCATGCAACTGTCTTCTGTCCGCCCTTCATCCAATCTTCGCATGTGTAAATTGGGACTATGGGAGGATAATCCTTATTTTTGTTACACCCTAAATTATTTAATTTGATTTTTGTTTTTAATTTTAGATGCCATCGCCTCCTAGAACAATTAACGACATTCAAAGTGATATGGCTGGTCATGATGATGAAGGCTCAGGCCACATAACCGACGATGTAGATGACGAAGAATACCGGTTACAAGGATCTGGTGATGGTTCTGGAGATGGTAAGTACACGCCGCATGTCATGGTTTCATTGCAGTTAAAAATAAAATTTATTTTCCCTCATTTTCAGGTGCTACCTCCTTCCCAGTTGATCCTCGTTCAGATAATAATGAAGATAACGAAATTACACCACATGAGTCATCTAATTCACCGGCCAGTACGGTATCCTCGGCGATGAGTTTAGTATATTTAACTTGTCTACTACTAGTCACACACCATACATTATTAGCAACGATACGATTTTATAAACTTAATTTAAATTAAATGACAACAAATAAACAAACAAACACACACACAAATACGTTAATAATACTGATGCTGCTGCTGCAACATGCAACACAACAACAAATCCAAGGGTGCAACTCTGTTTTATAAATTATGTAGCTATTATATAATATAAATAAATCTTTAAATGTATGTATGTACGAGTACGAATGAAAGCGAAAATTTAAGATAAAAACTCAAGAAAAAATTTAAATAAATAAATAATATAATAATACAAACAAAATGCAAATACTGAATAACGATTAAATACAGGTTGGCAGACTAGAACTACAAAAACAGAAAAAAAAAACTACAAAATCTTTATTAATTACACATGGATATGAAGTCGCTCTTAATGCTCTTAGAGTAAAATAAATAAAAAGAATGTATAAAACACAAGATAATATCTTAAGAACAAAGTGCAAAGTTGATTTCTCGAAGAAAATTCGCCAATTTTGTTTTCTTTTTTTTCTTGTCGGGAAATGTAAGAAGCATATTAATAGCGCAAACCACACATGAGCTGCTTGTTTAGATTAGGGCTGCAGCCAAAACAATGTTTATAAAACATAGCTATGATCATCCAGGATAAAAGTTTGACAAATTTCAAATAAAAATAGAAGAGATGTTAATTTATTTCACCTTGAATTAGTCATGTAATGCAGGGCTAAAACGTAAAAATTAGATGTCAAAGTTTAACATACCTTTTGCTGACATACATTTTTCTCTGACATGGGACTAACATCGAACCAAGCATGTCACAATTACAGAAGATAGAACAAGGCTACCCCCTAAATACAATTTGTTTCTTTTGGTGCCCTTATTCAGTCAAAACATATACACATTTTGTGTATGTATGTGTATTGTTTTAAATAAAAATACAATAATTTGATATTCGGTTGTTACGTAAATGCATACTTTCGATGTTTATAGGCAAGACATTGTACAATTTTGGAATATAACTGTATTGTAACCCCAAAATTCCATTTTTATTTCGAGGGTTTTCCGCAATAAAAATTTTTGTTAAAAAATGAAAAATAAACAAAGCCAACTGTTGCATATTTAGAAGTCTATTTAACACTATAAGACTCCAGCACAAAGTTGATTTTTTTTATAGTTTCTTTAAAGTTGACCAACTTTTCTTATTGAGCCATGGAACCAAGTATGAGTAGAGGAAAAAAACATTTTTAGCGCAAACCTTTAAAATAATATTCAGAAAGCTCTTCCATTTGCTAATTTTGAAATGATTCCATATATGTTGTAAGTCTATTCAATGATGGTAAACAACGTACAAAAGTATGTATTATTTAATAATAAATTGTGTGAAATTAAAAATACTAAATATTGTACTCAATTGTTCAATATCCATCTGAATTAGTCTTTTACTTGTATAATTCTAATTTTCCATCTGAAAAAAACCTTTTTAAAAAACCGTGATCTATTTCCCATTTATTTGGGGGATAATATATTTCAATTTTATTACATGTATACATGGACGTTAATTAAGCTAATAAGTCCAAGAATAAATGCTCTTATCAGGAACCTCTTGCAGGCTGCAAGTACTAATCTTGCAATTTTTAAAAAAAATCTTTATAAATTTGAAAAATTTCCTTCGTACGGGACGCACATATTCTTCTGTTTTTAAACACAACGTAAGAAAAAATAACTCGTGAAATTTCCTCTTTTCTGCTTAGGAAAACATTTATTGGTTATATAAATAGCTCTGAAATATTTGCAGAAATAAGTAGAAACATTTATAATTTTATCTTCTTCTTGTCTCGTTATAGAGCGATATACAACACGTAAGATCCTTATAACATCTGACAATTTGGTTTACAAACAAGTACGAAAGTAACCTATTGTCGCATACATTTTGCAGCAATACCCTTTAAGGTATACCTTTCTTCAATCATATCGCAGTTATGTTATTGTCATGGCTATATATTTGAATAATATAAAATCCTACGTCATTTAACAATGATCTTCTATATGTCTGTTGAAATAAAAATAGAGTCGAAAAAAATGTAAAGTTTTTTTCAACAAAGATGTTAAGATGTTTATTAAAATTGGCATCTAAAATCGGTTCATCGGTTCCTTTGGTCCCTGTTTAAAGGTAACTCATGAAAACATTTTTAAAGTTTTCGTCACATTCCGCTGACAAATTTTCAATCTGAACCGGCATCCTGAATTGACATTCATATAACAGTACTACATGATTTATGCAATAGAATCTACTTGCTATTCCCCAGCAAAATATTTCAGTAACGTCTTTTCCTAAAAATATTTTTTTTAATTCATTTACCCAATAGATTCTACTTGCTATTCCCCAGCGAAATATGTTAGTAACGTCTTTTCTTTAAAATATATATTTTTTAATTCACCCCTCATATTTCTCTTCCCTATAAATATTCGGCTAAACTTATTATTTTTTATTTTCAAGTGGTTTGCCAGATTGCAAGGAAATGCATAGATATTCCAAAGAACTAAAATATGAACTTTTTAACATAGAAACGAAATAGATTGAAGCATAAAATTCCGCTATTTGAAACGTACTCATTTTTTTTAAGAAAATATCCACAGAAATTATGTTGTTTGCTTTTTTAATTCTTTTTTCTTTTCAATATCTTCAAAATATGCAAATTTTATGCAAGGCTTAAGTTGTATTTTCGTCATCCTAAAATACTCATATTCAACATATTTTTACTTAACTAATAAAGTGCCATAAATCAGATATTATCAATTCCATATTAAAAAAATTTAATTTTCCAAACCTCCTGAATATAAATTACTGCTCAATTATTAGAAACAAGAACCCAAACTTTAAATGAATTCACCTAAAATTCTTCCTTTTTAAGGAACATAAAAAAATCCATACCAATTACAAAAACGGAAATAAAAACTAATATAAAATAGTAGAAGGGTTTCTTTTTGTCATTCTTAAATCACAAACAACAAATCCAAACTTAATTTACCTTCAAATAAGAAGTAATATGGTCATAACAATCACTTTCAAAGGAAACACTAAACTTATGTCCTTAAAAAAAAAAAACAGATATTAAAAATCAAACAAAAATATATATTATTTTATTTAAATCAGGCCCAAGTCTAATATTTTTCCAAAAATTTTGTGTAGATGGTGAAGAAAAATAAAACCTATAAAACAATTGATGTACGTAATTAAAGAACTGAAGTTTACTATTAGAAATTAAAGTAATAATATTAAAAAAACAACATAAAATATGTGCAAATATTTATAGAAGACTTACACATTACATGTCAGGGACGAAAATGTCCTCAATCGGCCAACAACCAAAAAAGTTGTACATTGCAAACAAATATAGCCATCAAGGGTATGCTCAAATTAAAAAAGTAGTTTTGAGAGATGAAACGTAAAACCAATCAATTTATATTTGACACTCGTTTTCTTGTTGACAATTTTTTTAAGAATTTCTTGTCTTTGAGACATTTTGGGACACTCAAAATATATTCCAAAAATGTTAAGTTGAATTTATATATTAGATTGCGTAACATTTACTTTAAAATTAATATTTCTTTTACAATTAAATTCAATGGGATGGATATGTTTTGCAATACCATGTTTCTTTTTTGTAAAAGCCTTGAAATATTTTAATTAATATGCCTTTGTGTAGTTTATTAATATAACACCATTAAAATCGAATGATTTTTTTCAAATTAATGATATCTCTAGATTTGCAATAAAATAAACTGAGTGTGCGGTTAATACCATCTTTACTATAGATTCTCCTTAACCAAAAACAGTTTTGGCGGTTAACTGTGCCCGTTTTATTGGATAATTTATAGGGTGCAATCGATGTCAAATTCTTCTAAAGTTTAAAATGCAAATGAAAATGAAGATTACATTTATTTACGCAAATCTAAGTTAAATAAACCTTCGGCAGCTGCACAGCTCCCACATCCATTGCAACTCAATCTCATTCAGGTTTTAATTCTGAATTCTGTGTTTAAACATTTGTTTGTGACAGTTCAAAGTAGTTTCAGCTTTTACCGAATTGAATTAAAACTCAAATGGTAAGTGAAGAAATTTCAATTAATTGTTGGCAAGATGAAGGCTTGTCTTCGTCACAATTTTAAGTTGAACTCTAAAATGTTTATTCTATATTATTGAAAAATAAAAATATAAAACAATAAAAATTAGAGATAATACATATGTATTTGGAGAAATATAAGTGTAAAATGTTTAAATGTAAATTATATATTTATATACTAAAATTAAAAGATAAAAACCTAAAAGAAAGAAATATTAACGTAATAAATATAGAATTGAAAGGTCTATGAGGACGTAATGCATTGCCAAAAAAATGGAAGTGGTTAAAATAAGCAAGACTGCTACTTCCAGATGCTAGGTTACCCTAAAACAAAGCATTGCGTCTTGATCGTTCTTACATCCTAAAGCATAACTACTAATTAAATACAAAAACAAATTATATTATATTATAAAAATTAATATTATTAATAGTAAAAAAAAACAAAATAAATCTTAGTTAGTAGCAAATTAATACAAAAACAAACGTAAGGGATAAACAATATGATGGATACTAATAATGCACAATAAAGAAGCGACAAACAAAAACAATTGTTTTCTTAAAACAATAAAACAAATTGAAAAAATGGCTTTCATTCACGGCCTCGTTTTGTATCATCGATTGTTAGATGTTTTTGTTTACTGTTGACGTTTCGTTTTTTTATCATTTAAAAATCAAGAAATACAGGGTGACACTTTAACTAAATTTTGTCTATATTTGTTTCGATACGAAACGTAGGTCTCGCATACAAGTGGCCAGGATAGTAGAAGTCTAAAACAACAAAAACTTTATTTTTATTATTTAATATGTTAAACCTCTACCTAGTTTTAAAATTAAAGAAAACCAGTAAAAAGCAAAACAATATTTAATTAAAACAAAAATAAACTAATAAAACAAACATTTTTGCATGTGATTAATAATGATTAAGTTAATTCTTATAATAAATATTTTTATTATAATTACAATTGATATACATATGTATGTACGAAAGAATGAATAAAAGATTATTATTTGGTTAAACATATTTGGATTTTGTTTTAATCTCAAACCAGTAGCTTTATTGGAGGTGGTATTTAAAAATATGGCATACATATGATGCACATGATCAGTAAGTGTGTTGGTTACCTCGAGGATTTGTTAAAATTTGTTCAAATTTTTACCGGAAGCTGTTCGTTTACCCAAAAGTCCAGTAAGTGAGAGCGAAATGAGGGAGACATTTGAGTTAGTAAGAGTTTGCAAATTCTTACTGGTAAATTTTCCCCAGTAAGAATTATCATGTTCAATAATCAGGTGTTTTGTAAAAAAAGAAACAATTTTAAGCGATCTTTAAAAAAAATTAAAAATAATAATTTATGAGTAGATGATGACTTATTTCGTTGAATTATGGGTAAAATCCAGCTAAAACGAGTCAAAACATATCAGTTGGTTTATATATCCTCAGTCAACGCTCGATTATTTAAATATTTTTTGACTTCTGTTGTGATTATTCTAGGAGTAGGTTCAGAAGGAATGGTGCAATATTGTCCATTTTGTATCGGACCTAAATTAATATGATATAAATATTGCGACGTGACAGGTTTAGGCTATATTGGTTACTTACTTCACATAATATGAGATATGTGATAATTTTTAGAAAATGTTAAAATGTGCGTGAGGTGGCAGATATTGTCGACCGAAGTATTTCTTTTTCGTACTTCATCTAATACAGATAAAAATATTGTTATGGGAAAAATTACACGAAAATCGAACATGAGAGAAATCCTAAACCCTATGTGCGGGAGGTACCAGAAAAATGGTCTGATCTCCACCATCTTTATAACAGCTTTTGTGTTGTGGGAAATATTGAGATGTATAAATGGAATCGGATACTAATTTCACGTTTTATGAGCTTCATGGTTATTCAAAATTTTGACCCTTTGTGGGGGAGGTACCAGAAAGAGTGAACCCATATAGCCCACCTTTCCAGCAGACATAGTATTAGTAGAAATAATGAGATTTGTGAAATGTAAAGAGAACCGGATGATTTTTTTTTTTCGCATTTTATACTCGTTTTATTATTCAGAACGTTGACCCTTTGTGGGGGAGGTACCAGAAGGAATGGTCCGATCTCTACCATGTTTAAAACAGAGCTAGTGTTGATAGATATAGTGAAATGTACTAAGTCTGAATTGAATGTTAATGTTAATGATGTTAAATTCGTGTTATGTGAGCTTCATTGATATTCAACATTTTGACCCTTTGTGTGGGAGGTACCAGAAGCAGTGGACTGATATATTCCATCTCCACACCAAACCTTGGGTTAATAAAAATAGTAAATTATTTTCTATGACCTAAAAACGTTACTTCGATGAGGCAATATTTAAAATTTCGTAATGTTGTGGGAATAATAGTTTGTGTGTAAAAATTGAAATTATCCAATTGGATTGCGTACATTCATGGCGAATTACCCATTTCATTTTTTGGAGAGAATAAAATTTTGGAATGGAATTGATTATGACGTCTTTGTCGTTTAGAAGCATACACGTCATGCAATAATTAAGTGGAATGTCCCTGACTATCAAATGCAAGTTGAACTTGCCGAAAGAAATGAAAAGAGGCGTACTCATATTGTACACGTTCGTGCTGCACAATTACCACCTCATCCGACAAAATTTTACTAGAAGAAGTCTAGTCGTAAATGTGGACTTAAATCGCGCTTCTACACTGTTTTGATATTGTTACATTGAGCTTCTGCTGCACTTGCCTGTTGCACATACTTCTTACCCTATATCCGGTATTTTAATAATATTTGCAACATTATTCACCGGAATTGTTTCAAATTTCGTATTAAAAGTTCGTAATTGATACTCCAGCCTATGACAGAAAATAGTATATATAGTATTACTTCTTAATATAGCCCCCATATAATGGTTTCCCTTTGAGTGGTATTTTTCTACGAATTTTTTTTTTTTGGACATTTTTCAAGTTGCTTCGAAATAGTGAAGAGTATTAAAAGTTCTGCCCGGCCGTACTTAGCTGCTGTTTTACTTGTTCAATATGATTTTTTTTATATAAAATTTTACTACAGTGCAATGTCCAGAATGAGTTTCCTAGTAACAGAAAAAAAGTTGTTAAACTTAAAACACGCCAAGGACGAAGGAGCGAAAGCCATTTTCACGGTGAAGAAACAGAGAATGTATTACATATTGTGTAGTCCGACATGTCTGCTCAAAGTTGGAAGTTTTTTCCGACAAGGAATTAGGTACCATGTGAACTTAGTATGAGGAATTTCGTCCGATAATGCCGATAGAAAAATTATTAATCGATACCCACTTATAAAATAAAGTATCGATATCGTCATCGGTTTTTATCCACCTCTATTTCTTATTTACATATTCGCATTACTTATGCGAACCTGCGTGTTTTTGTTTTTCTTTTAAAAACCAAACTTATTTACATTTTAAAGTGAAGAATTTACAAAATTTGCAACGAGAATTAAACAGCTTCAACAATGCCCACAGAAATTGAAAACTTGAATCCCAATGTGTATAGTAAATCCAAAGAACGTATTGTTACCAAAGAAGAAACAGATGAATCTATAGTTGATCCCTTTGATAAGAGGGAAATATTTGGTAAGAAAAACGTTCAAAGTCCTATTAATAACATACTAACAAATGTCAATCAAATAGACTTAATACGCAACATAAACGATCCAGAACATCCGCTAACATTAGAGGAGCTACATGTTGTCCAAGAGGATTTGATTAAAGTTGATGATAAAGGCAACAACATTTTTGTTAACTTCACACCAACTATACCACATTGCTCCATGGCTACGTTGATTGGACTATCAATAAGAGTGAAGCTATTACGATCCCTGCCACCTCGTTTTAAGGTAACTGTCGAGATTACACCTGGAACTCATGCCTCTGAAAATGCTGTGAACAAGCAATTAGCTGATAAAGAACGAGTAGCAGCAGCTCTTGAAAATAAACACCTGGCGGAGGTAATCAACCAATGTGTTGCTGCAAAGGAGGCTATGGGTGCTTAATGATAAGGAGACAAATTACTTTTTTTATAGTTTTGTTTTATTTCTAATAAAAACTTAATACAACAACTTATTCCATATTTACAGAAGCAATTTCTCCATAAATGTCTATATTCTGGTCTTAACTACTCTTTTTAGCTTGTGCTTGTATGCTCGTAGCTGGTCGTGGTTTTGTGGGATCATATTTATAGGTTTTTACCAAAGGTCCTCTGCCGGCTTTAGCAAAACGAATCTCATCCAATCGTGAACGTTCCTCCAATTCTTTGGTAATCTTCATATTTTGCCATGCTAGAATAAAAAAAATAAATGGTAATCCATAAACAATTACTAGTTTGGTTAACTTACAATCTTTCATGCCTTCTACAAACTTCTTTTTCTTGACTGGCAAGTTTTCGGCTTTGTGTGTTATCATTTTGTCGATTTTAAAGTACTCTCTCACTGCAGGTATTTTCAAAACAGCAACCTGTGTTATATAGAATTAAGAAGAGTCATTAACGTTTTAACTTCTGTGTTAAAAACTTACCTGTCCCAATGAAATGAAATTGCTGCATGCCCAATATGTCAAAATAGCTGCCGGGAAATTCATTGTAAAGGGGAAAATTACAAGTGGCAAAGCGCGCAAAACATATTTCATCATGCCCATATTCTGTGCCGATAATCTGGCACTATCTGTACCAATTTCGACGGTTAGAAGCAGGGTTAAACTTGTTATGACGGGTAACATAAATGTAGGATCTGCAATTGTTAAATCAGTAAACCAGAAGAGACCACCATCTCTCATTGATTCTACTGGCGCATTTGCCATTCCTCTCAAGCCCATAAAGAATGAAATGAAAAGAGGTGCTTGAGCCAAAGGGACAATAAGATTCTTCAACGGATTTAACTCTTTCTCCTTCATGAATGCCATCATTTCCTGGGCATAGCGTGCGGAATCGATGGCATTGCCAGATTGTCGAGCTTCGGTCATTTTCATTTGCAACAACTGCATTTGCGGCATATTATTGTTCATTTTGGCAGCATTGCGTTGAGCCATAATGACCAAGGGGAAAATTATGGTACGTACTACAACAGTGCCAATTGCAATAGCGCCCCACCAAGGCAAATCCCAAGTGACATGCAAGAACTCCATACAATTTTGCACTAGACCAACCGGTGACCAACCTCCCAAACCAATTGAAGCGAATGAAGGTTCACCCAAAGCATTTAGAACAGGACCAGCCAATTCGCCGACATTTTCTGGAACTGCTGGTGCAGCTGGAATATCAGCCAAATTAACGATAGTCTTTCCAGTCGTCTCACTTGCTGCTTCTGCACTGGCAAATCGGACACCTAATGTTGGCATGGACAATGCCATCATTGGTAACTTGGTTGTGTGAGATTGTTGCCATTTTTTGTTTCCACTTATATCCACATGGAAATCTCTCGAGTTTGAATATAACGAAGACGCAGTGGGTGATGTAAACTAAAAAATCACAGAGAAGGCAATTTTTTTATTCACAAGTGTTTCAGGTTATGTCACTTCATTGCCGTCTTTAAGACTTGCCGGAGCTTAAGCACTGCCTACTTACCTTACTATGTAAATTTAAATGCTTGAGGCCACTTGTGTGGCGCAACATGTGAATTCGTTGGAAAATCATGGCTGGGCGTCCTGACTTTAATTAATAAATGTTAGGAAAAGTATTTTCTAACTTTGAACAGAACACACAGAACGCAGGAGTTGCAAAGTTCTGTTTTTATAGAGAGAAATGTCATGTGAAAACATATGATTTGCCCTCAGACATGACGTCCATTTAATTTACAGCGTTAAGAGTCAACGTATACACAGAGAAAAATAAAATTATTTTGCATGAACTGAAGACAGTTTTATCGACACTGAACTTCTTTCGATTGTTTTATAGATGACGGTGATTATGGCGCTATCGATAAAACAACAGCCACAAAATGAATTACTTAGCCGATAAAGCAGTATATTTATATATGACTGTCGTTATATCGCTATGATCTTATCTCTAAAGTGGACGAGATGTCCACTTGACACAAGTGGACGATATGTGTCAATTAAGACACATTTGGTCTGTTCCAGAACTGCAATAATGTACAATTTTAACTACGATAACTGGTTTTTCCTTTATTATATCAAAAAATAATAGATTATTGCAGATTCTGGGACAGAGCAATTGTTATTTTACCGATAAAGAGTAATACGACATTACGAGTAGATAACTACCCTTAAAATGTTGGCGTTACTGGAAAATTATGCGTGGTAAATACTGAATGAAGGCCTTGAAAAAGTGAACTTTTCACGCTGTCCATTTCATGTCTAACATAGTCGATGAAATAATTGTACAATGTGTGTATGTGTTGTTGAAATTTTATTTCATATTACAACTTTTGGGAAGTACAAATGTTTCCGTTTTGGTATAAAAAAGAATTGCAATTGTATTGGGAACTCAATATGTTAAAAAATCTAGGGCTATCAATTCAAAGAGAACATTGAAGAGAAAATTAATATGCTGTTTTTCTTTATATTCTAATATTTTTTTTAATTATTTTCTTTTTTTTAAATATGAAGTTGATCCAAAAGTTTTAATGAAGCTAACAAATAACAATAAAGAAATAAATATCGTTTTATCACTGATTTATTGATGTTTTCTAAAAGCAAAAAAAAATTGTCTGATGAGCAGGTTCTTGTTCATGAGCAGGGCTGCTTTTAATACAAACGTTCTGCAAAAGAATTTTGACAGTGCTCTCACTTAGTATTTGCAAAATCTCGCTGGACAAATTTCTACTTGCAATCATTTCCTGTTCTTCTTCTTCCAGTGATTTATATTTGGATAAGTGATTCGAGAGAGGAATTTTGACAGTGCTTTCACTTAATATTTGCAAATTTTCCTGGACAAATTTCTTCTTGCAATCATTTCCTGTTCTTCTCCTTCGGGTGATTTATATTTGGGTAAGAATATTTAAAACTTATTTATTTTGGTAATCACAGGCTAATTGTTTAGTTAAATTTAAAATTTGTGTGAACTTTTTTTTTTTTTGGTTTTAGAAAGTTGAAAATTTGTGTGAACTTAATTTGTTTTTATTGCTTGGTTTTTGATAAATCAGCTGATTGCTTGCAGTCTGTCGTCTGCATATTATTTACAGTTTTCAGCAAAAGAGAATAAAACTTTCAGAAAGAAACTGCTGTACATTTACTGTAATGTAACAATTACTTGTAATTTTTTCGGGGAATTCCAAATATAAACAAATGTATTTTGACAGAATGGGTGAAATCAGCTGGGCTAATCCGACGACTTAAGGAGCAGGTACATAAAAAGCTTGAAGTCATGGCATATTAATGTCAAATTATAAAGGAAAATGACGGCAGGATTTTAGTGCGGCTTTGTAAATCCTTTATGAAATGTCACAAAATATGCCCAGCCATGACTTCAAGCTTCTTATGTACTTGCTCCCTTATCCAATAGGCCTTGTAGGAAACAAAACCGATATTAAGATATCGGGACTTATTTTGTACTGCTTGCGTAGATGAGTGGGAACAAAATCGAAACTGAAATGTAGTGGGCTGGATGACGCAATATTGGTAACGAAACAGTACAATACACATTGCAAACGTTTCCCTGTATATTAACTCATTGAGTTAAATCCCTCCATTTTTATACATTTTTTTTAAATCACACAATGTTAAAAGGTAAAAAAAAACAAAACCTATTTTTACAATGACAACTCTTAATATACCAGTCATCGTTTCGCACAGCAAAGGTTTGGAAACGTTTCCTGGCGTTTCGTTCGCAAACTACACAAATCGGCAACTCACAGCCGAAGTATATTAAAACTGAGAATACATAAAAAGCTTTTTTGACTGGCTTAATTCATCAACTGGCTTCTTCGTAAAAAAATAAAGATTTCAGGTTGACTTAGTTCGATTTTGCTCCTACGCTCCTTTGTTCTATTCCAAAGAATCCAGCCGATGACTTATGTCTGTCAAAAAGGAGTTTTATGTATTCTTACCTTAAGGCAATCGTATTCTTTATGTATTTCTGACATTGAAATGTTTGTGGGTTTGTTTTGTTTGGAGTACAAAACGAGTGAAAAAAATTAAAGTTTGTGATTTCGTGTGAGCGGTACGTTCGCTGTACAAGACTACAACTTTAGGTTTGTGTTTTTCAAATTGAATAATTCTGCCCTAACTTAACATGGTAATTATTGTACCATGGCAGAAGAATACAGGTAGATCATCAAGTCTTGGAAACATTGATATGTCAAAAAAAATTTAAATGTTTTTTTTCAAATATAAGTAGACTTTTATATGTTTTCTTATACGGCGTCATTCGTCGATGCGTCTACCTATATTCTTATACCATATATTGTACCATGGATAAAACAGTTAAAATAAAACGTTCAGTGTTGCTAGAACAGTCCCATTTGGTTGTTGTGTTACCGACGCTGCATGTCATGAAATAACGCATCCATCCTCAAAGGGCATGTTTTCGCGTCAGGTTGATGCACAAAAGCTAAACTCATTACGCAGAGCAATAAGGAGTGTTTCCACTATTGCCAACGAGAGTGATATAGCATTCATTTTCTTTCTAATGCAATATTTATTCACATAAATTTTAAATATATCAAAATAATGACCAACTCGTTCATTTAAACGATGTTCTCACTGCTCTTATAACATATGTCGAATCACATTTCAAATATCACAACTAGTTTCAAATTTAAGCAGTTTCTACAGTTGAAAAGTTTGTCGAAAGAATAGTAAGTTTTGTGGGAAAGAAGGAAGGTGTATGAGGCAGAGGTATATTCAATTGTTAAATGTTCTATATATGTCTCGAACTCTTTAACATGCCATTTTTATACCCTCCACCATACTATGGAGTGTATATTAACTTTGGCATCCCGTTTGTAACTACTCGAAATACTCATGTCAGACCCAACAAAGTATATATATTCTTGATCAGCGTAAAATTCTAAGTCGATTTAGCGATGTCCGTCTGTCTGTCTGTTGTAATCACGATATCTATCGAACGAATTGAGATAGAAGGCTAGAAATTTTCTAGAAAAGGTTTATGTGTGCTCGTTATAATTGTTATGGAATATTTTTCAAAAAATCAAACATGTTCTCTTTTGTTTTTTCTATAAAAATAATTAAAAAAACAAATTTAATACTTTATTTAATCAATAAATCATTGCACTGCCCCAAAGGTAGAAAATTAATTTGTCTATGTTTCTATGTAGACTATTATACTGTAAAAAGATTACTTTTCACCTTTATTTTACTTTTTTGTACATCGGGTGAAATGACTGGCGTCGTATTCTCCATCGAGTTTATTCTTTCCGTAACTATATTCGATGCAACTAGTTTGTCAACTGCTGTATTAACAGATGAATTATTCTTTTGACCATCAGTTGTTTGCAACATTTCATTATTCGTATCCTTGTGATGTTTAGCTTGATGAACAATTAGCAGTGACCGATTTATTGTTGTATATGGACAGTGCGAACATTTGTGTAAAACTGTATCAGCCTTATCGGGATGTTTGTGACGTACATGTTTCTGAAAATGATAACATTAACAAAACCAACACAAAATATTTGTTATTCCTTCTTTTCACTCACCTGATACGTTACGCTTTGAACGGATTTGTAATCACAGAATTGACAATCGTACATTTTTTTGTTTTCATGCCCCATCCGATGGCGCCGAAATGCATTATGATCATTTGTGGCATAATTACACTGTTGACATTTGAATCGTTTCTCTTCTTTGTGTGTTAACAAGTGCAATTTTAACGATGCTTTGGTGCTCATAACCTTCTGACAAATATCACATTTCATTATTGATGATGCATTATTCTTACAACAATGTTCCTTTAATGTTTTCTGATGTGAAAATGTCGAACCACAATCAGGACATCGATGTATGTTTGGTTGTGGTAGTTCTTTGGGAGGTGCCGATGTATTATTGGAATTCAATTGAACTCTATGCCAGCGTCGATGATTTTTTAATTGCTTCGAGTTTTTGAAAGCCTTTCCACATTGTTCACATTTGTAGTTTCGATCATCAGAATGAATTTTGGCATGAGTATTGGCCAGTCTCGAAAATATAGGTGTCTTAAAGTCACACAAATCGCATTTATACAATTCCATATCGATTTGATGGGCGCGCCATAAATGAGTGTGCAGTGTATTCCAATTACTAAATTCCATCGATTTACACTCTGGACAAATTGCTACTTGATTGCTATTCACATTGGCTGGGTCAATGTCATGGCATTTTATGTGATATTCCAAAGTTTCGTTCTTTTTAAACCGAAAAGCACAACCTTTAAAGCTACATTTTACAAATACATCATTTGTTGATGTGGATTCCAAGGCCATTCTGGTACGATTAGATCCAAATGGTCTACCGCGAACGCTAACAGGTTTCTTGGGTGGTTCCATTAAATTATTTGCAACATATATACGACCCTTTTCTGCAGGAGTTTCTTGGGCGGGAGGAAATTTGTCCTTAGGCACAGCTGAATCAGATTCTGAAGAAATTTCCCTGTTAATCATAATTGAATCTGTAACCGGCACTAAAGGCGGTATTGGAATGTCATTTGATGATGTTGTGGCTGAGGATTGCGATGTTGACATGTGTGTGACCGTTGCTAAGAGAGGTGTTATTGTATTGACGTTCTTAGAAGTTACAGAGGACGTTGATGTTTTAATAAAATTGTTATCACTACTCTCGTTAGGAATATGTATTGGAGAATGAGGTACTCGATCCACGATAGAATTCTGAGTTATGCTGTTTAGTTCGTTACTGGAAATTATATTGCAATCGGAGTTTTTGTTTAATGTAGATGATATTTTTGGACTTCGTGCATTTATTTCACATACACTTAATGCTGTCAATATAGGAGAACGGGGCTCTGTCGTGACAGGAACTTCTTTATGCAATTCCACACGTATAATGGGTATATTGGATTCGCATTCATTTCCTAATGTTGTAGAATCTTTTGTCTCCGGTGTTGCATTACTCAATTCACGTTTAAGATTTTCTGCATCTTCTGATGTGCCACAATTGCCTTTTGCAACAACAGAGTTATCTATTTGCTCCGAAATATTGGCAATAGAAGAAGTTACATCTGAAGTATTATCATTTGCATAATTAGTATCGTGTACCATGTCATGAATATAACTCGTTCCTCCCGTCAGTTCTTCTATGTCTCTGATTGTAATTAAAGACATTTGAGGATTATCCACTTCCATGCTGCTGGAAAAGGTCTTTTGATTATCTCCCGTCGAATTCAAGACAACATGCCCCTCTCTATTGTTATTGTTGTTTGTTACCGGATTATTGGTAGCCTCAGTTATTATGCCATTAATGTCCTCGGCCAAATCATCGTATGTTTCGGGCCATTCATTGGCCATTTGACTGTCCAAATCTTGAAACTTAAAAGCATCAGAATCGTCATAAATACCATGACCAATTAGATTATCATCATTCATATTTATGTTATTGTCTAGTCCTTCGGTACTGTGATTATTATCCAAATTGGGAGCTATTAGGTGTTGTACTTCATTTTCGTTCATCAGGTTTAGTTCGTCAACTGTTCGTAAATGCAATGTGCCCCTTTGCTCCGAGTTTGTTGAATTTTTACTCTGAAAATCAAAAAAATATATAGAGTTGTGATAGCCAGGAAATTACAAGATATAAACCCAATGTAAGTATCGGGGATTGACCCGGTTCTCAAACGTAAATTAATATATACCATTTGACTTATATCAGCGTTGGTTGGATGTTGGAATTCGTTTTCATTCATTAAATTCAATTCGTCAACAGTACGCAAATGCAATGTTCCGCGTTGGGGTTCTGGGGGTGCTGGAGGAAAGTTGTTATTCTAAGAGAAAAGTAAAATTAACACATTTACACAATATTCATAAACATTGAAATCAAAGCAAAAGTTACCGCTGTATTTATAGGTTCTTCCAAATTTACTGCAGATGAATCTGGTGGAGGAGTAGGGTCAGTTATAAGTGTAACACTTTCTACCTGGCCTCCACAATTATTTATTCCCATATTGTCAACATTGACTAGATATAATGGATTATTATCCAGTATGTAGTTATTATCATTTGATGATGAATTTATATCTATTTGATAGGCGTTGTTGGTCATATCATTATGACCGTAGGACCCACTAACATTACTTGTTGAAATTGGTATATTGGTATTCGTTTCATATATAAAAGGTATGTGTGCGGAGTTCGAGTCAAAGGGTTGTGTAGCATTGTTAAATATATTCGATTGACTTTCAATGTATTCCAGAGGCATTAAATTAAAACTTTCAACACTTTTAACATAAATTTTGGGTTTTCTCGTTTTATCGCAGTCTCCATTGCTTTGGTTCCTACTCATGGAGATCATGTCATTTTGGTTGTCATTAAAAGAAGCAGGATCTGTTGCGTTTGATACAGTCTCTCCGTGCTGTTGATTGTCTGTGTTATCTGCTGAAAAAATACTATAATTAGTATTATCCATGCCATAATCCCGTCTCAATAATGCAGGCTCTCGCAACACATCAACGCTTTTTATGGAAATTTTTTGTTTTGGTGCCTTTTGATTTTGATGCAGACTGGCATTGCTGCTGTTATTGTTGCTACAATTTCCAAATAATTGATTTTCAGTTTGTTCAATTGGTTGACGATTTGGTTCCCTTAGACATTCAACATTTTTCAAATAAATGCGACTTTTTCTCTGCGGTTCACTTTGTATTGAATCACCGGATAATCCTTTCGTTGATTGTTGAGTGTCTTTGCTGTTAGCTTGAACAATGGAGTGAGCTAATTTAAGTGCCTCATCTTTTGGCATGATGTGATCCAGTCGCAAATGGGTTTCAAGTGATTCTTGTATATAGAAAACATTAGTACATCCTAAAATTAATTATTTTTGTTATATTATTTAGTACATCAATGGGGTATAAGGAAATTTGTTCCTTGTGTGGAGCACAATACAATTTTTTGTTAATTACCTGGACACTTCAACTCTTGCCGGAGGGCTTCCTTTTGTTTATCGGCATGTCGAGATTTTTCATGTTCGTATCTCTGATTGTCACTTAAACTTATAAAGGGGCATAGCGAGCATTTATAAACTTGGCATGAAGCTTGGTTTATTAACTGATCCTCTTCTTTGTGTTGATTTTCCTGCTCATTAATATTTTCGACTCGTTCTCCAACAAGTTCGTTTTGATTTTGTGCATTATCCTCAGCGTTTTGATTTTTTTGCGTTGCCGAAGGCGCCCTTGGTGGAGTTGGAGTAGCATTCGTTCTTTCTTTAGAAGAATCAGAACCTTCTGATTTAATTGGTTCTGATTTAATCTCTTCTTGGCGACTTATATTTCTACGAAACACATTGCCGTAACTTGTACGTTGTGGTTGGACATCTGTGGTGTGGATCTGTACAAATGGTATATTTACAAAAGTGGTCGGTGCCGGGCCTGCAGGCACTGCCGAGGTGTTGGACACACATAAATTCGTGGCAGTATCTGCAATTTTGTTAGGTTCATCCCTCGTGTGTGAAAGATAGGGGAAAATATTGGTTTGACCTCCATGATGCCTCTGCTCTACAGCTGGTGTTGTGGACAGTAATTCACAGTTGTTGGAATAATGACTTGTTGTTTGGGCATCATAGTCAACTAAGGAACTATCAATGGATGACGGCTAGAAGAGTTGGTCAATGGAAACAATTACTTTAACGATTTATAGGGGGATGCTACTCGTTACCTGGTAGTTCGAAATACAAAAATAGCTGTCGTACATTGAATAATTAGCATCATTCATAGTTTCGAGAATCTGGACAATTTATTTGAGCTGCTCCCTACCATGGAACGGTGGACACTGATGAAAACACTGACTGAGAGAAACCAAAATGAAAGACGTCCCCAACGAAACGAATATGAAGGCAAAAAAGAAATAAAAAATAAACAGAAAGCAAAATCCCTTGTTTACGAATTAGTGTAAGGCATAACGTCGAGTACTCTCTTGTTTACGAATAAGACGTGAGGAAAACGCAATCAGACTAAACACATTCTTTTAATGAGCTTCGGGACTAGCTTATAGAACACAATCCACGCCGAAATGATGACTCGATTTGTTAATCGATTTTTAAATTATCGCCATTTACAACAAAGTATCGATACAATGGACATCGATTATTTGCCACCTCTAGGAAGTGCGGCTAAATAAACCACTGTTTATAAACGTTTCACTTACAAAGTCTCACTGATAAATAAAGAAAAAGCTTAGAAATGCCGCGAATAATGATAAAAGGAGGTGTTTGGCGGAACACCGAGGTAAGAAGACACAAATTAAAGCATCTGTTGGGAGCTATGTAATAAAATACTTCTTGTGCAGGATGAAATCCTTAAAGCCGCTGTAATGAAATATGGCAAAAACCAATGGTCACGAATTGCCTCATTGCTTCACAGAAAAAGTGCTAAGCAATGCAAGGCTCGTTGGTATGAATGGCTGGATCCTAGCATTAAGAAGACTGAGTGGTCGCGTGAAGAAGATGAGAAGTTATTGCATTTGGCCAAGTTGATGCCAACCCAGTGGAGGACAATAGCACCCATCATAGGCCGCACTGCTGCCCAATGTTTGGAACGTTATGAATACCTGCTGTAAGTTGTTCGTCGAAAATTAAAATAGTTTGCTATAAATTTGCTCTATTTTCACCTTGTGTAGAGATCAAGCCCAACGGAAGGAAGATGGCGAGGAAGTTGCAGACGATCCGCGTAAATTAAAACCCGGTGAAATTGATCCTAATCCTGAAACTAAGCCAGCCAGGCCAGATCCAAAGGACATGGATGAAGATGGTATGTATTTGGAATTCAATACGGCAAGCTAAATTTTAATGAAATATTTTTATAGAATTGGAAATGTTATCAGAAGCCCGAGCTCGTTTGGCTAATACACAAGGCAAAAAAGCAAAACGTAAGGCCCGTGAAAAGCAATTGGAAGAAGCTCGTCGTTTGGCTGCTTTGCAAAAACGTCGTGAACTTCGTGCTGCTGGCATTGGTAGCGGCAGACCTAAGCGTATTAAAGGTATAGACTATAACGCCGAAATTCCCTTTGAGAAAAGACCCGCTTTGGGTTTTTATGACACATCAGAGGAACACATCGACAAATCGGAACCAGATTTCAATAAAATGCGTCAACAAGATTTGGATGGAGAGTTGCGCTCTGAGAAGGAAGAACGTGAACGTAAAAGGGATAAACAGAAGTTGAAACAACGAAAGGAAAATGATGTGCCAACAGCAATGCTGCAGAATTTGGAACCTGAACGAAAACGTTCTAAACTTGTATTACCCCAACCTCAAATATCGGATCAGGAACTGCAGCAGGTTGTTAAGCTTGGACGTGCCAGTGAAATCGCAAAAGAAGTTGCAAGCGAAAGCGGTGTTGAGACCACCGATGCATTACTTACAGATTACTCAATAACCCCACAAGTGTCTGCAACACCCAGAACTCCAGCTCCATACACTGATCGTATTATGCAGGAAGCCCAAAATATAATGGCTTTAACACACGTAGAAACACCGCTAAAGGGAGGAGTTAATACTCCCCTTTACGAGTCTGACTTTTCCGGAACATTACCTAAATCTTCAGCAATAGCCACGCCAAATACTGTCATTGCTACTCCTTTTAGGTAAGCATTATTATTTGTAAGTAATGGCCTACTAAACCAATTCTAAATACATTTGTATAGGACACAGCGTGGACAGGAAAATGGTACTCCTGGTGGCTTTGCAACACCCATGTCATCGGCATTGGTACCTGTTGGGAAGACACCACGAGGTGGCGACGGATCTCAAACAGTGGCTTTGGTTAGGGACAAACTAAGCATCAATCCAGAGGAAAATATTAATGTTGGTGATACACCGGCATTGTACAAAAATTATCAAAAACAACTTAAACATAGCCTACGCGAAGGTCTGGCTACACTTCCAGCTCCCCGCAACGACTATGAAATCGTTGTGCCTGACGATAGCAATGACATTGCCCCATCCGAACCATCTGATGAAGTCGCCATGATCGAAGATCAGGCAGATGTAGATGCGCGCATTGTTGCGGAACAAGAAGCAAAACGTAAACGTGAATTGGAGAAGAGGTCGCAAGTTATACAAAGGACTTTGCCACGACCCACTGAGGTCAATACAAAAATATTACGTCCTCCAACCGATAAGCAAAATCTAACGGAACTCCAGAAGGCCGAAGAATTGATAAAACATGAAATGATCACCATGTTATTATTTGATTCTACTAAGGACCCTGTGCCTGGACAATCACAAGCCAAAATGGATCAATTACAAAGTTATTTTAAAGCCAATCCATATGAAGATGTCTCACAAAGTGATCTGGAGAAAGCCAAAGAAATGTTGGCCGAAGAAATGAAAGTTGTAAAGGAGGGTATGGGACATGGTGATCTACCACTCGATGTTTATTCACAAGTATGGGAAGAATGTTTGGGCCAAGTCCTGTACTTGCCCTCGCAGAATCGGTACACTCGGGCCAATTTGGCAAGTAAAAAAGATCGCCTTGAATCAGCTGAAAGACGTTTAGAACAAAATCGCCGTCATATGGCAAAAGAAGCAAAACGTTGTGGCAAAATCGAAAAGAAATTAAAAATTTTAACTGGTGGTTATCAGGCTAGAGCCCAGGCCCTGATAAAGCAGTTGCAAGACACATATGAACAAATTGAACAAAACACAACTGCATTATCCACCTTCAAATTTTTAGCTGAACAAGAGTCGGTGGCTATACCCAGACGTTTAGAGGTAAGTTGAAATTGTCCATGTTTTGCTTTGTTCTAACAGTTGATATGTTTAAAATTTTAGTCATTACAAGAAGATGTACGTCGTCAAATGGAACGTGAGAAGGAGCTTCAACAGAAATATGCCAAACTTCAAGAAACTTTATCTGAACTAAAAGTATCATGTCCTAATTAAATGTTTACTGTTTAAATTTGTGGGATAATAAAACATAATATGTGTGAACTTCGCTTAGAAGAAATAAATCAACTTCTTAATTACAGATTATGGTTTCTAATTTCACTCTTTTCCTTTATAAACAATCTTTAAAATATTTAGAAAAACGTCAACGAAATGATGATTTAAGACCCTATAAAATTTATATTCTTGATCAACATAAAATTCTGGAACGATTTCTTTATATCCGTGTGGTGTAGTCGCTCTAACTGGTTCTAAAAGAATGAAATTTTGCTCATAATCAAGTTTTGTCTGCAGTTTAATCAAACTTAATATAGGGAATCTACATCTAAGCGACTTCGTTAGTGTAATTGGAAAGTTAGGTTCATTTGACTTCGTAAGTGAAATCTTTTCCAGGATCATCGTCTTTGGAAACTGTTCCAACAATCATTTATTTCTATACCCTCCACCAAAAAAAGTATGGAGGGTATATTAACTTCGTCATTCCGTTTGTAACTCATCGAAATAATCATTTTAGACCCAACAAAGTCTGTTGTAATCACGCTACAGTCTAAACGAATTAAGATAGGGAGCTAAAATTTTGCACAGATCTCTCTTTTGTCTGCAGGCAGGTCAAGTTCGAAGATGGGGTATATCGGTCCACGATATCGTATAGCCCCCATATAACGGTACCCCCGATATTCGGTATTTTGATGATGTTAGCCACATTTTTCAATGGAATTGTCTGAAAATCCACACAAGTAAATCCTTGTGGGTACTTTATACCTCGGCAGAGAATTATCTATATAGGTCCACGATATCGTATAGCCCCCATATAACGGTACCCCCGATATTTGGAATTTTGATGATTTTATTCACCTTTTTCAATGGAATTGTCTGAAATTCCACAAAAGGAGTCCCTTGTGGGCATTTTACCCCCTCCAAAAGAATTGTCTATATAGGTCCACGATATCGTATATCCCCCATATAACTGTACCCCCCCCCCCCCGATATTCGGTATTTTGATATGTTAGCCACATTTTTCAATGGAATTGTCTTAAAATCCACACAAGTAGTTCCTTGTGAGTACTTTACCCCCTGAGAGAGAATTGTCTATACAGGTCCACGATATTGTATAGCCCCCATATAACGGTACCCCGCGATATTCGGTATTTTGATGATTTTAGCCATATTTTTCAACGGAATGGTCACAAGGGGTTCTTTGTGAGCACTTTACCCCCCGGCAGAGAATTCTCTATATGGGTTAACGATAACGTATAGCCCCCATAAAACGGTACCCCGCGATATTCGATATTTTGATGATTTTAGCCACATTTTCCAATCGTATTGTCTGAAAATCCACACACGGAGTTCTTTGTGAGCACTTTACCCTTGTAACGGAATTGTCTATATAGGTCCACAATATCGTATATCCCCCATAAAACGATACTCCCCTATATTCGGTATTTTGATGATTTTACCCACATTTTCAACGGAATTGTCCGATAATCCACACAAGGAGTTCTTTGTGAGTACTTTACTCCCTAAAAGAGAGTTGTCTGTATAGGTCCACGATATCGTATATCCCCCATATAACTGTACCCTCTAATATTCGGTATTTTGATGATTTCAGCCACATTTTTCAACGGAATTGTCTGAAATTCCACACAACTGGTTCTTTGTGAGCACTTTACCCCCTGACGTAGAGTTCTCTATATAGGTTAACGATATCGTATAGCCCCCATATAACGGTACCCCCGTTATTTGGTATTTTTATGATTTTAGTTATATATTCCAATGGTATTCTCTGAAAATCCACACAAGGATTTCTTTGTGAGCACTTTAATCCCTGAAAGGTATTTGTATATATAGGTCCACAATATCGTATATCCCCCATATAACGGTACCCCGATATTCGGGATTTTGATGATTTTAGCACATTTCCCAATGGAATTATCTGAAAATCCACACAAGGAGTTTCTTGTGAGTACTTTACCCCCAGACATAGATTTGTCTATATAGGTCCACAATAGCGTATATCCTATATATCGGCACCATCCGATATTAGGTATTTTAAAGATTTTAACAGAATTTTCAATGGATTTTATTTTTTTGAATATTTTCTAATTCGTTCCAAATGGTGGAGGGTATTCAAAGTTCGGCCCGGCCGAACTTACTGCTTTTTTACTTGTTTTAATTGTTAAAGCTGTATAATTAATTTCTAAGCAGAGATCTGAATCACATTTATTTCCTAAATTTTTGCATACCTTATGTACACATAAATTCAAATGGCCGAATTTACGGAATACATGACACATGTACTTAAAAATCCGGCCCTAAAAGCGCTCAGTTCATGTACAATTAAATCTTTGATAGTTTTGGAGTGTAGGAATGCACTAAAAAGCTAAGTCGTCCATTAAGCTTTGGTGGTTTCTAGGACTTTACAACATTGCTGGTACTGAATTAGTAAATGAATTGGAAAGATGTGGATCCGAGCTAATCGATTTGTAGATCGACAACTCGGTGGAGTCAACCTTTATCATTCTTCCGTGTGATATATAACCATTACTCCGGAAGATTTAAAAAAAAAATTAGCTAAATGGAAAGGGTATGCAATGTCTGCAAGAAACCTACTTTTTTATAACCTCCACCTTGGAAAGGAGTATATATTAACTTTGTCATTCCGTTTGTAACATCCCTAAATATTCGTCGTAGACCCCATAAAGTATATATATATTCATAATCAGCATAAAATTCTAAGTCGATTTAACGATGCCCGTCTATCTGTTGAAATCATGATACATCCCACATTATTTGACGTAGAGCTTCAAAATTTAGCAGGACGATTTGTATTGTGTCTAGGATTGTTAACGGACAACGTTTTGGAATAGCACCCATATAACAGTACCTCCCGATATTCGGTATTTTGATGAATTTCGCCACGATTTTGAACGGATTTGTCTAAAAATTGGTATTTGTAGGTCATAATGGGTTCTAGCTTGTGTAGCGGAGCATTGTATATATAGGTCCACGTTTTGGTATAGCCGCCATATAACGGTACCTCCTGATATTCGGTATTTTTATGATTATTGCCACATTTTTTCACGGATTTGTCCAAAAATTGGTATTTGTAGGTGATAATGGGTTATAGCTCTGGTGGCGTAGCATTGTGTATAAAGGTCCACGTTTTGATATAGTCCCCATATAACGGTACCTCTCGATATTTGGTTTTTGATCATTTTTGCAACATTTTTTTTTTCACGGATTTGTCTAAAAATAGGCCTTTGTAGGTCATAATGGTTTGTACTTTGGTGGCGAAATATTGTATGTATATGTCATATATTATATTTATTTTTCCCACATATTTTAGCGGATTTGCCCATAAATTGGTATTTTTAGATCGTAATGGGAGCTAGCTCGTGGCGGAACATTATATGGATAGGTCCACGTTTTGGTCTTTTTGCTGGTTTTTGCCACATTTTTCCACGGATGTTTCTAAAAATTTGTGTTTGTTGTTCATAATGGGTTCTATCCCGAACATTGAATATTTAGTTCCACGTTTCCTATAGCACACATATAACGAAACACACCGATATTCGGTATTTTGATAATCCTAGTAACATTTACTCACATTATTGTTTCTAATTTGGTATTTTAGAAAATTTGATAGGTGACAATCCTAGAAGTATAAAATTGTCTATAGAGGTTCCCGTTTTGGTACAGCCTCATATAACGGCCTAACTCACTATATGGTTTTTTTGATAAGTTTAACTACATTATCCATACGGTCTTACTGGTATATGAAGTTTAAAGTGAAACACGCTTGAATTCAGGTACTTTTGTATAAAAATGTTTTCTTTACCCTAAGGTGGAGGGTATTTATGTTTTTTTACTTGTTGTTTTTGCACCAATGTTTGCATTGTGTCTCGACAAGTTGTTGCACGACGATCCAAATATGCACTAATTTTGCAAACTGTGATTGCAATATTTTTACGTCTTCTATACACTAAGCCTTGTTGCTACAGAAATCATATGTATCAATTGGTGTCTCAAAATGTTCCATCGAAAAAACGGTTTTAGGTCCGTGGTACGCAGAATAACTCTTAACCCATTAGTGGACGAAGTTCCCTGGGCACTACCTTTAAGCGATTTACACCAATTACAAATAAAAATGGTATAGTTAATTTGTTTTAAAAACAATTTATTCAAAAAAGCTTATGGTTTTGGAGTTATGGGCCGTCCCTTATAAGGGACGCTGCGCATTGGGTACACTTGGCTTATGATATTCCTTAAAGCAATTTTTAGGGTGGAGACCTTTGTCACACTTCTGACAAATAAAATTAGACTTTTTGCCATATAATCCACACCGTTTATCTGTTTTTGAATATTCAATAATGTGGTTTCTGCCATCATATCTTGTATCTGCAGTGACATTGCTATTGCGCAAACCTCTTGATGCTGGGGTACCATACGATTCCAGACATGATGTTGCAATATAACGGCGAAAATTTAGAAGAGTTGAACATGCCGGATCATTGGGATGTAACTTCTTCATTAACAGCCATGCATTCACTACTGACGCATCAGGCAAATATGCAAATATGGGCCAACACTATTTTTTTGCCTGATTCTAGAGCGGTATCGGCACCATCTATTGGTGGGGTCGCGTAAATTTCAATGTCGTGCAACTCATTATCGCCAATAGCATCCAATTCATTAAGTATTTCAGAAACTGTAAGTCTGCACATATAAGATTTATTACTCAATCAGTGGATTACAATTGTACTACGGGCGCAGTGTCCCTCTAAGGGGACGTTGCATTCATAGTCACTTTATGCACGTGTCACAACAATTTATTTTATTTTTTGGGCATAAACTAGTTTATTACACTTACTTACAAATAACAATACAAACACAATCATAAATATTCACAGAATCATAACTTTATTGAAATTTTACTTACCCAGCTCGAGATTTTTGTTTTTTCAGAAATTGGTTTTCCATATTTTGCACAAAATACAACACGCAACTCGCAAGAAATTAAACGAATGGGATAGAACATAATTCGTTGGAGTGTCAGTAATGGCATAGCCTACTTGTTTACAA